TTCAAATATTCAAAAACTCCACTTTCATTTTTTTAATAATACAGATCTGAAGGAATAAAAAAGAAAGGTTTCAAGATCTGAAGATTGCCCAGCCCTGTCTTGGAAGACAGAATGGTACATTCAGAACGGTTCGCTCTTTAAGCTAACTTTCTTTTCTCAAATGAGAAAAATGATCTGACCGCTATCGAAGCTGAAACGTGCCTCACTATTGGACAGCTATCCCATCACCCTTGACTCAGCACAAAAGAATGCCAGGAGAACATCTGCTTGTTCCCATTATTAATCCCTATCCCGACTTTATTGCATCTGTTCTGAATCACTACTGAACAATTTGTTGGAATTTTGGAGAGACTCTGGTATCAAAAATAAGGATGGGGACAGATGACAAGCACTTAGGAAACAAAGTACTACTCTGGTTAAGTCCAAAATAGCTCACCTGACCTTTTGCTAACATAATGCATGGTGGAACAATGAGAATTGAACAGAGAAGATATTCCTTTAAAACTGTACTTATTTAGTAATTTTAAAAAGTTGTATAACCACCTATTTTACAAAGCGAACCTAAGTGGCTTAAGACCAATAAAAGCAGAAATAAAACAGTTATGACTTTAGATTGTTTCAATAATGGTTGGAGACAAATTAAGGATAATGTCATAGGAACCATGGGGAGACTGGGTTTGTAAGGGCCTGTTTGGTCTTGTGTTTAGCTGCAAATGCGGACAGAACCTGACTGCTGGTCAGTTTATTTCTGAAGTGATAATAGAGGAGAAAAAATCATATTTTGTTACAAAGAGTAAAATGACTTGGACAAACTGCATCTACAGCATGGACATCCAACTGTTTGGCTTATCTGGACCACCCTGAGCAAAGAATTGTCTTGGGCCACCTATAAAATATATAATATAGTAAAAACTTCCTTTTTTATATTTTAAATTATTTGTAGGGCTGTGTTACTAGCTATCTAGGGCTGCATGTGGTTGTGGGCTGCAGGTTGAACATACCTGATCTAAAGGCTACATGAATGTAGACCCAATTGTGGCAACCTGATTGTTTTTAGCTCATATGTATGGCAGTGTGTTATACAAAATTAGTGAATGCAATTAATTTACTATTCGGTGTATTGTACAAATCCAGAGACCTGGGTTAATTTAATAAAATATAACCTAGTAAATATGGGTAGATGACTATTGTTATATTATTATTAACAATATTAAGTGTGAATGTCTGAAAAGATGATCCATCCGGGAAGGTGGCCTGAATCTGGGACAAGCCCAAAAGAGAATCTTGCTGTTCTTTGAGTTTAGAGAAATGAGAAGAACAGAGACTTTTAATACCAAGACTCGAACTAACATTTGCATAACACTTCAACACTGAGATTTTTTCAAATTCATCACACCCACTCTTGTAAGCTTTTATGATAACACAGAAGGTTCCAGCATTATCCCTGAATTAAAGATGGGAACTGAAGACCTATTGCTTGAAAAGTTGTCAACGAAACTTCATACAGTAATAGAAATTATATTTTGGGCAACAATTACATGGATTACAAATATATTTAACTTGAAATAAATCTGAAATTATTTGATAATGTTTCCAAAGAAAAGTAAGAAGGGTGGAAATTCATGAATGCATGGGAAAAATGCATCTCATCTATTCTCACATGTTTTCATTTAAAATATATCTGTTGCAATTATTGTTTATGATTCAGTGGAATAAATGCAGGTTATTAAAAGTGAACATTTGTGTCATTAAAAAAATCCATTACATAACTTTATATATATAGTATTAGCTCTTGTAATCTCAGATTTCACTGAGTTTATAAGCAGTGGTTTGCTTAACCATGGTTTATTCAGTAACCCATAATTTGTAGGTTCAAACTACACAAAGCCATAATTTATAGTCATAAACCAGTATGGTTTGCATTACATGGTTGAACACTCCTAGTATGCAGAGCCCAAGCCAACCTAACCAAACTATGGCTTAAAAAGGATTATGTAAATTCAGCCACAATGCAATTCATTTGATCTTGCTTTATTGTGTTGTATGAATCCAGCCACTCATGGTTATGGCTTAGGGTGCTGTCCAAACCGAGCTAAATGTGGTTTTCTTTTCCTAAAAAAAATCCCTCACAGCTAAATAAACAATGCTTTATTGTGAGGTGTGTACTGGTATTAGTCCTAAATTTACTTTTGTTTCTACTTCCTGTGTTTCTGGCTTTCTAGTTTACAGTGTAAGCCCAGGTGCTTGTAGAACATTTCTGAAATTTGTGAATCAAAAAGAAAATGGAAGACTATTGGCTTCAACTGATGCCCCAAATCATGCCTTAATGCAAGTGTCAAAAACAGTTGAAATAATTTTAAGCAAAGAAATTAAGTGAAAATACACTGAGTTCAAAGGCCTTAAGGAAAATAGGCTCATGACTTTTTAAAGTGATTTTGTATGGGAAATTCTGGAATAAATTTGCTACATCTTGCAGTACTATGTGTTGAGTTTTGTTCCTAACACCATTCTTGAATGAAAGAATATAATTTATTTTTACCCCTTTAGAATTGCATTAAGGTGGGCTGCTTTGAAGGCTTAAGAGGATGAACCGCGTTAGTTGCTTTGACATTACCTGCTTTGTCCGAGCCCCCTTCATTCCCTTCAGTTTGTAAATTTATGAAAACTGCAGCAGGTCGCGTTGGCAAGTTACCCTCATTAAGTGCCCCCTTTGAGAACAGGCTGTGTTTGAATAGTTCCCTAATGAGGATAGGACGGGGTTAAAAAGTGACCATTTCATGGTTGACTTGAACCTGCCTCCCGTCGATGTTTCGTGGGGAAATGCCTGACCCGGAGAAATGCATCTTTAGCAAACGGCGAAAAGTCAGCTGGCCCTTTGCAAATAGTTCACACGGCGGGGAGGGAACAGGGGCTGAAGGACGACGCGCCAGTTTACCTGAGGCAGGCAAGTGCTAGTTTGTGGCTTGGACAATCGCCCTCCCTCATGCTTGGGGCGGTTTCTCAGGGCCGGGCCGGGCCGGGCGGGGGCGTGACGGAAGAGTTATACGATGCTTTTGGGCTGGTGGCCTCGGTGCCGGCCGTCTACAAGGGCTTCGGTGGAAAGGCTCGGGTTTGCTTTGCCTGGGCGTTCCTCGGATCAAAGTCCACAGGTGTCAAGGCGGTGTAGAAAATCTTGAGATTGTTTTTCCTAAGCCCCCAAAAGGCTCAGGAAGGCATAATATTAGGCGTAGTTGAAAACGGAAGACCGGTGGGCCCCCTGGTCCTGCTTTACTCTCCTGGCCTTGGCATATTCCGTCGCGTTTGTATTTCTTGTGGGCCACTTTTCTTTGCTCTTCCAAGAACGGGAGACTTTACGGGTGATAAAAGTCTGACGAAAGCAAAAGTTTGAAAAGGGGCGATCTCGGAACTTGGCGCCCCCAATGAGACACTTTTTCCCGAAAGTCTCGAATCCAACTTTTAGATAAAATTCATCAATGGTAGGGCACCCCTCGCCAAGCAAAAAAAAAAAAAAACAAGGAAAAAAAAACACGTTCTTCAAACTGACTTCCCGCCTGAGGGCGAGTGTGAGAACGTCGTTAGTGCGTGTGTGTGTGTTTTAATATGCTGCACTCCTGGAAAAAAACAAAAAAAAACCCGCGGGCGCGAACTTCTTCTTGGCACGATCTGGTGGGTGAGATTGAAAGCAGACGAGCCTATTGCTCCAGCAGCGGCCTTTATTTTTATTTTTTATTTGGTTTCCCTCAGGGGGGCCGCCACCCATTTCCTCCTCGCACCCTGGTGGAAAAAAAAATAAAATAAAAGGCTGCCCGAAACGGAGCCCCACAAATCAGATTACGGGCAGGAGTGAAACGTCTGAGGCGGGGGATGGAGGCCACGTGGAAGGGGTTCCCTACGAGCATGGCGCCTTTCCACCACCGGGGTCTGCAAAGAGCAGGCCGGCCTTTCACTTTCTCAGGGCGGCGTGAGGGAGTAAAAGCTGAGCGAGCCTTCAGTTCGGTGACCTCGCTCCACATGCAGGCGGACGGGGTCGCGGGTTTCCAGACGCTGCCTAGGCTGCCAACGTATGCAGGGGGAAGAGCCGCCAATGCACATTTCCTCCGCTTCCCCCCCCACCCCGCTCTCCCCCGGTTCCTGTTGTCTAATCGGTAGCGAAGAGGCAAAGTTTCCCGCTTTGAAGCCCCCTCCCTTCGACCGCCGAGATTCAGGGTCTGCAGACAGGGCGGGTTGGGGTTTCTTTCGCTCCACCCTTTCTTCCCCCCCCCCGTCCTGTGAAGGAATTTTCCACCGGGCGGTGTGTTGGTTTCTGCTGCTGCTGCTGCTGCGCTCTTTTTTTCGCTCTTCCAGAACTTGAACTACGAAAACGCTCCCCAGTTGCCCCCAAGCCGGCCCGCTTTTCAGTCCCCCTCTGGAAGCGCGGGGGGGGGGAAGGGGGAGAGAAAGGAGAAAGTGAGAGTGTGTGCAAAAAGCAAGCGCGTTTGGAAAAATGTGTTGGCCAAGCTCTGGTACTGTACGGCGGTGATTAAAGAGGAAAGGCAGGGAGAGGGGAAAGGAGTGGAAGGGGTGGGGGGGCTCGGAAGAGGGAAGGAATGCATTTGCAGCAGCAGCGGCGGCGGCGGGGGGGTGGGCAGGGATGTATGCGTCGATTGTGTAATTAAATAATAAACCGAAATCCCAAAGTGTTTGGAGGAGAAAGCTATACAACGGAGGAAGGGCCAGAGAAAGGCGCTCTCGGGTAAAATACCCTCCCCCCCCCCACTGCTGAACTTCCAGGTCTTGCAGAAACCAGTACACCGAAGAAAGGGGAAAGGGTGTAAGGGAGGAGGGGAAGGAGGAGGGGAAAGCAGAGATTGATCGTTTTGAATTTTCAAGAGATCATTTTTATTACAGTGGGCGTTTGAAAAGCAGGCTCTGAACATTATCCACAGAGAAAGGGGGTGGAGAGAGAGAGAGAGAGAGAGAGACACACACACACACACACACACACACACACACACACACACACACGGAGAGAGAGGGAGGCAGAGGCTGCTGCGAAAGAAGCTCAGCGTTTGCGCGCTGCTGCGAACTCTTTCTGCAGCCTTGGGGGACGAGCGCTCTCTCTCTCTCTTTCACACACACACACACACGCACACACACTCCCGGGTTGGCGCTCTACTGCACAGGGCTGTTGCAAAGTTTCGCCTGCCGATATACGCCAGGATTTTCCTGCTCCGCCGCTGCAACCTTGAACTTTGGCAACGTGGTTGATAGTATCGTGGTGTATCCCGCTAGCTGCTGTTCCAAAGCGCTTGGAAATCCAGGAGAAAGGGGGGAAGAAAAAAACCGCGAGGAAGGAGGAAAAAAGAAAACCCGGACCCCCCCCCCCCCTTAACCCCCTGCATTCCATTCAGCCCCCACCCCCCCGCCCCCATTCCGCCGCCTCCTGTCCCAATTCACCAGCAGCCACTGCACAAACAGCAGCGAGAGTGAACCGCCGCCGCCGCCGCTGAGAACAAGAGGGTTAAAAGTGTAGATTGGATTTCACCCCGGGAAATCTAGCGCTCGGAGTGAACTTGAATCTTTGGCTATTTAAGGAGGACCGGGGCTGGTTGCGAAGTTGTGGCGATTCAAAACAGACCTTGATCCGGATCCATCTTTTCCTTTTGGAAGCGTTAGATGATTGTAAAATGAATAGATGAAACCGTTGCGCTTTTGATACTTTTTTCCCCTTTCGGCAGAAGTACTATCTTAGAGCGAAGTCATGATGTATTCTCCCATCTGTCTCACTCAGGTATAGCCGCCTTTTTTTATTTCCCTTTATTTTTTTAAGGGGAGGGGAGAAAGTAAACTTGTACCGAGTTGCACCGAATACCTATATAGTTGGAACTGTTCAAAGGAATATTCGTTCCGTCCTTGTTATAGGATGGGAAACTAAAAATGTATGTACTTGTGATATAAACCTATTAAAAGGTGTGTGTGTGAGGGATAGGGACGAAATATAAATATTTCAGAATGACAATGATAAACGAGTATTATTAAATTACTCTTGCAGGGTAAAAGTGATTAGAACTAGCAGCCACGTCATGTAGATTCATATGAATTCGCCACAAAACAATGGTCCGTTTTGCAGACTGTACTTAACCTGAAAAAGGAAAGTGTTCCCTTATTTTTAATTAAGCGATGACTGGTAACATAATGCCATCCTGTGCTGAATTAATTATATATACTTCAGGCTGATTTGAGAAAGGGTGACTTAGCTGAAGGCTTTCTTCATTATGCTGTACATTTTTTCTTGATAAATTCCGGTACTTCAAACTTTTTGAAGTCAACACCCAAGGTCATAAGGAAAACGGAACCTTTTCCTGTTATATTAGGCCTGCAGACACTCGTGTATTTTTTAAAACTGAGTAATTTTGTACACTACACATACATGATTTTACTTTGAAGAACATATAGACAAAACTCACGTTGGTTTAACAGGTAATGGTTTCCATTCACATAACTTAAGTTAGAATTGCAACACATGGTGTGATTGGAGTAAAGGTTGGTGGTGGCATAGATGTTTCAATAGGAAAAAAATGGAGTGCAGAGTCGGATCTAATATAAATTATAGCACAGAAAATGCTTTGAGATGTTCAAGTGTCTAAAGCATGTGACATTTATACCATTTTTTCATTCATTAAATATTCCAGGTAGCATGTAAAAAAATCAGGTCTAGTTGAAATCTTAGGGTACAATTTGAACACATTAATGTATAGTAATATAGCTAATATTTGTGGGAAGTAGGTTTTTGTTATGTAATATTTTGGTTGGTGTTATGATCAAAATAATAACACTTTTCTTTGACAATTGGAAACCAGTGTAATTCTATTGGACTGGAGCATTCACAAATTATGAATGAAGATTTAAACAATGATAAGGATTATTCAGTGATTGGATACAGTCCTGTAGCTTTTTGGCTGACACGTTTTTATTGTTTATATTTTGTTTGGCATCAAAATGTGATTAACTTTGGAATCTTTTTAGCCAGTAAATGAGAACTTTACTGATGCAAAGCAGGTGTAAAAAGTGTTCTGAGGTATTTGAGAAATTATAAAAAGTCAGCACTTACACATCAGCGCGCACACACGGCTTATGTCTCTTGATCAATTGGCAGAACATTGTAAAATTCAGTATAATGTTTTTCTCTCTGTTAACACGCATTTAATACTTAAGGAGACTTCTACCAGCCACATAGAAATATTTATTAGTTTCATAGTATTCCCTTGCAAAGCCATAGTTACTGGCCTAGGATCATCATATAGTTGGGTTTCTGTGGAGATAGGTATAGGTGAAAATTTAGCTTAAGTTTTTAATGTAATATGCTTTAATGGTAACATAAGGTATAATCCATTCTTGTTTCTGGCCTAATGCCTCAATTCACAGAAGTGTTTTAGAATAGGGTATTTGTGCCTGAACTTATTACAGGGCAGCATTAAAATTTTCCTTGACTGTTATTAAGCAAGTTTTATCACTTGCTTATTTACCATAAGCATAGTATTAAATGTCACTTTGTCTTTTCCAAAACAAAATAAATTATTTAGGCATGGTTTGCATGCAATCTACAAGTCTGAAACAGTGTTACGGCAAACCTAGTATTGACCAATTTAAGATAAGTCAAGTGTTTCAACAAAATGCCCACTAGTTTTGAGATGAAATGTATACTGTTTTCCCCAAATGATTTCTAAGATGGTTTTCTATTTAGTTTGTGAATTTATAATTCACAGACTTGAAGAATAAATAGCTTATAAGAATGGTTGGGACAAAATTCAGATCCCTCTCAAGTTTTGAATACATACCCATTGTCCCATACTTGTAGAGCAGGTTTATGGTGAATATAATATTGTACTATTGGTATTTTATAATATATTTGTTGTTAGAAATCGTAGAAATGAAGAAGAGGAATATTTGGCTAAAAACTGTATAGAACATGCATTTGATAAACCTTTTTCTAAAAAGAATCTATATAAAAATAGTACAGTAGTTTGGATTTTGGGAGCGGTTACTTTATTGTACGGTTGTGGTTACCTTGGAGTCAAATTAAGTTGCATTGAAATCTATAAGATATAAGAATAAATGAGGTGTCAATAGACATTTTATATCTTGGAAACCTAACCTGATTAAATAAAACAGGATTATCTGAACACATTCCTCCTTTTGTGTAATTAATATAAACTTAGTTTTTAGATCCATGAATAGTTGTTAGTACTCACAGCTGAAGTCTTTTTTAAAGAAGTAGTCCAAGCAGTAAATACAGATTTACGGAATTTTATATCTAAACTAGAATTGCTAAAGTGAACATTAAACATAAGTGTGCGTACCTTTGGCTATATTTTTGCATTGTTTATTTTGTGAAATAATTTTCTGAATTCATATAACAAACTAATAGGAAGATAAGATAGAAATGGGAAATCATTTTTCATTTTTTTCTGAAAAAAAGTGTTTTTTTTTTATAGGGGAAGGTAAATAACATGAAGATATTGTGGAAATTGACCACGATTGTAGATCCATAACTATTGTGGCTTAAAATAACTTTAAGAAGTTTGATTTATCTGTGAAAAAGTTTGCTCTTTGTTTTTATTTGCAATCTATGCAAAATACAACTTTCTCTTACATTGTGCATTTTTCAAAATACCAAATTTCATACCGAGTGTATAAGAATTTTTGAAGAGAACCTATGTAACATAAGTTTTACTTGAGAAACAATTCTTATTTAAACAATGTTTTGGGATGTTACAATAGTTGATATGTGTACTAGTGATTGTAATTTTATTTAATTATGAATTTTATGCCAAGGTCTGTTACTTAATGCAGGAGTTTAAAAACACAAATGTATGTTTTTTATCAGATAACTTGGATTTTATAACTGCATTTTTATAGCAGTAAATATATTCTGGAAACTTTATATGTAAAATTAGAATTTGTGAACAGTGAACATAATTTTAAAAACACAGAATACATAGCACTAGTAATCACAGAGACCATGCATTTATCCTGTTGCATTGAGTTGGGTCTGCAGTTTCCCAAATGTGATTAAAATGAAGTAATGCCAAATACCATGATCTGAATTGTCAACATCACAGGAACTTCGATTGGAATTTATGGGGGTAATATATATTGTAAAATAACTTTAAACAGTACCGGACATAATTTCTAACCATTCAATTTCTAGGCTTTTTAATAATTTCTTATATAAGTTAGAAGTAATGAAATAAGTTTCTTATTAAAATACATGTTTTACTAAGAATTCTATAGCACTCAGTTTTTGAGAAAAAGAAACTAGTAGTAAAAAAAAATGGCACCAGAGTGCACTGAGATAGGGAAGTCTTATCGAGGGCTGTGGTTGCTCTGAGCTGTGCTCTCTTCCCACACAAAGAGCAGATTGTGGTTTAACTCTTTCCTTAATGTAGTTTGTGCCCTTAAAGTAACAGAAAACTTGGATAGAATGGCTTATGACTTTAGTAATTGCTTGAAACCTTGTTTTAATTGCATTATAATTCTTTTTATGCCCTGTATTTCTATTCTAGTTGATTAATGTCTGCCTTAAAAAGGAAAGAGGTGTATATATAAAACCAAAATTGAAATAACATTGCTGGTCTTACAGCACTTCTTGAAAAGTCTTACTATAAGGTGTTATAAAATCTTGCTATTTTTACTTATAAAAATGCAGGATTCAATTTAAAGAAGATTTCAGTATTTGGTGTGAATACTTTGTATGAACTTTCGTTGAGTATTAGTTGATTGTATGAACTGTTAGATAAAACTCTACAGGAATTTTGAATAGAATAAATACATTTTATATTCTCAAACTGAAATATAGGATTCTTAAAATTAATGACATTCATTTTCCAATTTATTAAGTTAACAAGTATATTAATATATATGCTACCATTTTGCTTGAAAAATACAATTAATTTTATAATCAGGACTAATTTTAGCGTCAATATTTTACAGTATTATGATTTAAATTCAATTTGAATTAAATATGGTCTAAAAATTATAGGACAAACAAATGAATGAATAACATTGCTCTTCTTTTGCCACAATTTTCTTTCAAATCTTATGATAGGTGCCAGGACTACAGAGATAATTTTTCTTTGAAGTAAATTATATATTGTATGTGACAAAGACGAAATTTGAGGCACATCACCTTAGTAGTTCTTATTGATCAAAATAAAGTAATTGCTAGTATTAGCCAACATTTAGTCAATTGAAACAAATAATAAAATATAGATAATCTGTATGAATAGCTAGGTAAAGCCTATAAAAGGAAAAGTTTTCAAGTCCAATATATCTGTGTATTTCAGAAAACAGGATTATCCAATAATACAGTGTTAACGTCACAGAGTTACAGAGTGTTAGATCACAAAGAAGACAAAGTTTGTTTCAAATTATCCTTTTTTCTTTGTGTACCTAAAAGGGTTTTTTTTTTTTTGGAGTGGGATGAAATAATTATTACATACTTAAGGACTATCCTTGAGTTAATAGGTAATTAATTCTGTTACAGTTCCATGTAATTGTCAGTTAAATTTTTTTTTGGGGGGGGGGGTAAAGTTAAGTGGGGAAACATGGGCAGCTAGTGAATGCTGTAAGGTACCCTAATTATATTAGAACTGTGTCTTTCCTTTGGCCTTTCTTGCCTTATTTGTTTATTTCTGTGGTTATTCCTGTTAGAATAATACTATGATAACTGGAATGTTGGGTGATTAATAAGGGATTGAGTTATATTTTCATTGTTCATAGTCTTTGTGTTGTCATCAGTCTCTTGCTGATGACAAAAGTGGAAACTACATAATGCAACATTGAACATGTATGCCATAATGTTTCCGAATCAGAAGGTAAATTATTTGCAATATTAACTTCTACATTTATAATATTTCTAGTCATTTGTCTTAAAATTTGCTGTGCCAATATTTGTCATTTGTTAAATTATAGCCAAAACATTCAAAATTCCAGGGCCATTTTGTTTAATTTTAAACTAATACAATTGTCTGTCTGTTTGGAACCAAGCCCAAGAATTGATGTATTTATAAAATATTATAATACTTCCATAAGTGAATTATAGACATACATTTTTATACCATGTATGTATCTTTTTAAATAATTGTAAGCCTGCTGAAAATGCTTAGGAATGCTCATGGCATACATAAGTGTTCATTTTACTGATTTCCCCCCCAAAAATATTTGTTTGTAATTGTATAAGTAAAACTAGTCCCTGAAGTTTAGTTTTTCTTTTTGTTTCTTCTAACAGGATGAATTTCACCCATTCATTGAGGCACTTCTTCCACATGTCCGTGCAATTGCCTATACGTGGTTCAACCTTCAGGCTCGAAAACGCAAGTACTTTAAAAAACATGAAAAGCGAATGTCAAAAGATGAAGAAAGAGCAGTCAAGGATGAGTTACTTAGTGAAAAGCCAGAAATCAAACAGAAGTGGGCATCCAGGCTTCTCGCCAAATTGCGCAAAGATATCCGCCAAGAATATCGGGAGGATTTTGTGCTTACTGTTACTGGGAAGAAGCACCCATGCTGTGTTTTATCCAATCCTGACCAGAAGGGCAAGATTAGGAGAATCGACTGCCTTAGGCAAGCAGACAAAGTCTGGCGCCTGGATCTAGTCATGGTGATCCTTTTTAAAGGTATCCCCCTGGAAAGTACCGATGGAGAACGGCTCATGAAATCCCCCCATTGCACAAATCCAGCACTTTGCGTTCAGCCACATCACATAACAGTATCTGTCAAGGAGCTTGATTTGTTTCTGGCATACTATGTGCAGGATCAAGGTAGGGCTTTTAAAAATATTCTATTTATTCAGATATTTATACACATATGCACATGAATACACTATACCACTTTTTTGTTTTTTTAAAAAAAGCTGTAAACATTTCATATATCTTTACAGATATTGATACGTGCTTGCTAATGTATACATTAGATGCAGGAGAATCCAAAATATATATTAACATTTGTTATAAAAGTTGAAAAATACTACGAATGATTTTGGTATGTGTTACAGAATATATTCATAGCATATACATTCATAACAATTGTATTCATTACAATAGAACTATTAAATAAAAGAATGAAATATGATGTTTTATATATTTATATATATTATGCAATAAATATAATTATGTGATATAGTCGCTTATCAGTGTTCATAGTGTGGCATTTCTCCAAATTTTGAGGTAAAAACTTCTCCACTTATTTTAAACATTGCTTCAATATGGTTATTTTAAATTATGTTGTAGTGAAAAACTTCTGTAATTGTTATGATTGTATATCTGCTTATATGATTTGTTTTCAGTGATGATAATTGACCTAATGTAGAATTTGTTATCTTTTTTGTTACGTACATTTTTTACATTAAAGCCTGTAACCATTATGGTAGATTGATTCTAGAACCACATAATAAATATATCTAAGTTAACATCATGGAGTATTTGCAGATGGCGAATTTTGACAAAAATTGGCCTGGTCCTGGAAACTGCCAAAAGAAAGATGGATGGGGAATGTTGATGCAAATATTAAAAAGTAAAATTATTTTTCATGTTTCTGGTGATACTACCAAAAGACTTGGCTTTTTCTTGGTATTTTTAGTGTTGATTTTGTATAATTTAGTCCAATATTGTCATTGCTGACTTCTAACTGTGTATAGTATACAGTTACTGTGTGGTAGTTTTACCATGAAAAACAAACATTTACCATAAAAAACACAGTTCTGTTTTTCAACAATGATAGCAGTTATAAAATGTAGGCTGGATTCCAGTTTAGAACCAAGTGAATACTATTTACGTTCCATTGGTTTCAATGTGACTTTAGCATGACCAACACTCTAAGCTTTGCTGTGATATACATTTGAAAATTCTTGTAATCTAAATCTGCAATCCTTGATTGGGATTGAAGGAGAGCCCTCATTTAGGATTATATGAATTTAAATACACTGCAAATTAATCTTGAATGAAAAACAATCAATAGTGAACATTTTGATCTTGATTGTATGAACTTTATATTCCCTTTATCTCAAAGAGTATTTAAAGACATAATGTTTAGTAACTGAAACAAGTGTTAAATATAGTTAACATAGTTATGTTAAACTATATGTGAAGTTTGTACTTAGTGACTTTATGATGGAACATTTAACTTGGTTGCATATTATCTCCATTAGAAAGTCAACTGTATCTGAAAATAAAAGGGATACAGCATTTTTATATCTGTGCATATATATTTCTTCAGAGGCTGTGTTTGCTTGCATTGACAGGATTCCTGTAAAACAATGGTGATATCAGATGATACTAGGGATTGTGTATGACTTGTCAAAATAACTTCTGTAAATGTTTTCTAAAATGATTGGATTTTTCCAATATTTTTTCATTTGGTGACAATTGTGGATGAAAAGTTGGTATCTATATTAGGTTACCTACAGAAAGACACTATCACAAGTGAAGCTTCTAAAGACTGTTTTGGAATTACTGTTTTTGTGGTAGAAATTCAGCCATTTTTCCTTTGTATTGAAAAAGATTGTAGGTTTGAATTATTCTCAAGGTAGCTTCCTCTTAACCCTTTGGCAGGCAGGGAGTGAAGGCTGCTTATATATATACATGAGTTATATCAAACTAAAATATTTTTGAAGAGAGTTGGTTTTCTAGCTAAGCATATGAATATCTACTTGGTAATGTTTTATCGGTTAACGGGTGGGATGATAAGAAAAATTCATGGAGAGTTGAAAAAACAATAAAATTCTTGAATGAATGAAATAATAAAATGGAGCTATATTGAAATATTGGCAAAAACATGAGGAAGAATAGTTTGAGAGCCAGAAATGGTTGCCAGTGGCACCAAGGTTGGCATTGGACCTTCTTTGTTTAGACTAGAATGCCTGTGATTTGTTAGTTGGTATCCGCATTGCAGAGCAGAGTAATGCTACAATATATTGAGAATTTCTTGATATAGAAATATAAGTCACTTTTATGTTTTGCTGGAGAGTATTTTTCAGTTTTTCCAAATCTGCATTGAAGGAAGAAATACAGACCAGCCTACCAAGTTACGATATTGACAGTGTATAAGTCTTTTTCTAAAAAAAAAGCCCTTTCTTTTGCCATCACTTTTTTTTTTCAGAATTCCTATCTTAAAGTTTCAAAACACAAGAGAATTAAATTCTTATTTGATTGATGTTGATTATTTTGCTAGCTGGGGGCAGAAAATAGTCTTAAAATAATTTGTGGTCTACAGGTGTTCAGATGAAGCAAGAAGCCCGTTTTAATAACATTTATTTAAATGCTACATGTTCTAATTAAATTCATTTCAAAATTAAGAATTAGGATTACAGTATCTTGCTTAGCTGAAAAAGGATATATTTATTAGTTTTTTTAAAATTGGGTATAGGCTCTGTTTCAGTCTCTATAAAATCAGTTGGTAATATTTGATTCAATCAGTACAGCTCTTGTGCTGTGTTCCGTTTCTACAAGAACCGCCATTTTGTTTGTCAAGTGCCAGCAGAGTGGGGGAGGAAAAGCAGACAATGTGCTTGATGCCAATAATGGTTGCCAGTGGCACCGAGGTTGGCATCAAACCCTCTTTGTCTAGTTTGTGAATGCCTTTGATTCGTTGGTTGGCATCTGCATTGCAGTGGGCACATTGGAAAGTTTTTTGACAATCACTGAATGAAAGCTGTTGTATTTATTTGCTGCAGTAGAACTTCAGATAAAAGAAATCCGTCCTCTTAATAGATAACTTTTTTATTCTATAGCAGCACATTTTTAAAGTTCCTCTTTTTTTATTGAAATGAACTATTTTTGGTGTGTATTTCTTTTCTAAATAATTTAATCCTCCTGGTGTTTGCTGTTCTGGAGTTATAAAGAAATACATGCTTTTATTTTAGGCTGCCTAATGCATCTTGGGATATATTATGTGTCCTTAAAATAATTATGATAACACATAACACACATTTCACACAGTGTTTCTGAGTCTTATTTATATGTCATGGAGTTGCACCATGTTTCTTATTTCAATAATCTTATATAACTAATTCTGCTTTAGCACATTAATTAAAAATATTAGAAGGCTAATGCTACATTTATAATCAAATAGAAATATATTTTGTTTACAGCATAAAAGATATTTTATTCCGGTTTGCTTTAGTTTGGATGCACTTGGATTTCCAGATTGTAAAACATCAATTATTTTTGTAAGTAAGCTGCATGAGTTGGCACCCAAGGCAAGTGCAAAAGCTAAGGCATTGCTGTTGTTTCCTAGATAGTTTTAATATTGTTTTCATGCTAATCTCTATTATTCTCTTAATTAATAGGCTAGCAGTTTTACCTAAAAAGCCACATGAAGGAAATCTGGCCTACATGAGTACTGAAATGTGTCATGTTTGTAGAAAAAAAAAAGGGGGGGGGGACAGATCAGGTGACTACTAGTTTGGTCTTAGAACAAAAGAGAATAGTTGATCATAAGAGTAAAGTAAAAATGTATATATCTTGTTGATATGCCCACGTGTTCTTTGTTGGCATTATATTCAGTTTACATGCCTTCTACATTTGTAGCTTACATGTAGCTTATACCTAGAAGGTGAATTATCTTGTAATGTTAATAGTTTGTATTATGAGTATCATCTTGGGAGAATCTTTTTAAGGGTACACAATTTGCTGTATTGTATTCATTGGACATTGATATTAGGTATTGGTTATTCTTCTCTCCCTCCTGATACATATTAATGCGGTAATATAATAATAACATATTTTTAAAAAAGTTTTAAAAAGGGAAACTTGAGTTAAGTATTTTTTAAGTTATTTCAAACTATTTTGTGTGTTATACATTTTGACTATACATCACTAATGTTAATAAATGTAAATAAAATGAGAATTTTATCAATTAAAATAAATGTTGAAAACAATAATCTGGATAATTTACCATTCATAAAGGCTAAATTAAGTTACAGGGTTACTGCTTTTAGAAGGGAAGTATTACAATGTACCAAAACCTAAAACATAATCTGCTACTGCTTATTGAAACAGTGCAATACTGACTAATTAAACTAACTTTTAATAATGTATTGGTCATTTTAGAAATGTTAGAATGAAGATTTTGAGAAGATATATATTTGCGCACTGTAAAATGACAATTAAAAAATTAGATATTTGAAAAATCCCATGTAGTAATTAATGCAAAAACAACATGGTGTAATCGATACGTATGCATGTATGTGTGTATAATGTGTTTCACATGAGATATGAAGTACATTTCTATGTTTCTAAGGATTTCAGAGGGTATGGATAAATAGTCATTTGTTCATGCAATTTTCTAGATAAAAATTGATGTAATTATGTTAGTGGTAGCAAGTTTCTGTAAAAATCACTAGCACTATATTTTTTATGAAATAAAGTCAAGTCCAGCAATCTAGAAATATGAGCATAGCCATTGTGGTTTCTATTGTATGAACTCAGCTATGGTTTAATTCAGTGCTTCCCAAACGTTTAACTTTATTACCATGCAGAATACAATCTGGATTGGTCACCGGACCAGAGGTTTAGTCTTCTGAGATTTCAGACTTGTACTTGAGCCCACCTCAGGGAACTTCTCTCTACCACACATTCTGGTAGAGAGAAATTCATTGAGGATGGGCTCTAGCAAGAGCCTGAAATCTCGGAAGACTAAACCTCTGGTCCCATGACTTGACACAGTTAGATCCTGCAACATTATCCTGGGACACAGACCCAGATTAGATTCTGAGACACATACTCACCTTCATTAGTAAAATATTTTAAGTCAGTTTAAATAT